CAGAAAACGAAGTCTATTTTAGTAAAAATTCTCTTATTTTTTACAACTTCACTTCTTTTAATTCATTGAAAATGGCCGACAATAACACAAACGTGCAAGAAATGGCGAATAACATGCTTATTGCTGCTGACAACGGTGATCGAGAAACAGCTCTTCGAGAAGCTGAAATATTGCGACAAGAACTCGAAAGACAAGCTTTTCTTGAACGAGAAGCGCATCAAGCAACAAACAACGATAATCCGACACAATAACCTAAAGCCCATTTAGGTACAAGAATACAAACATCTATTTTTCATTCAAGAATCTTTATAATTTTCTTCGGATATTATGCAATATATGTTTATTTAGCGTCGGCTTACAGTCATTCCATATTATTCTACTGTTATTTGAAAATTTTCAATAGACTTTTATACTAAACAATGCCGTCAATAATGAAGTTTTATTGTAAAGCGTTTTTAAAAAATCTTATTAACTATTAAATCTCATCGAAAAGGCCTGAATGTTTCTTTTGAAAAGACTATTAGCATCTATCTCATTTATCTCTTACAAATATTTTTCGAAAGTGACTATTGTTGTATCTTCTTTGAAGAAAAAATTTCTTTTTACAAATTTCTAATTTAAAAAACACAAGGCAACTCTAATATAATTTCATTAGCGGTTGTGTTAAGACTTAATCATTTGAATAGTGGTAAAAAAAAAGATATAAAATTCAAAAACAAATCTTATGTTTTCTCATAATAACCTATGTTATTGATTATTGCAGAATGGAATACTAGTATCCTTTTTCTCTTTTAGGGCACTGATTCATTTATACTAATGATATTGAATAAAAACACATTGATTTAAATGTAAAATTTAAGTAGAATCATCATTTTCTAACCGAACACTTATTTTCACTCTTCATATTAGCTAATTTCTAATACATATTGAAACTGAGTTACATAATTGAATGTTGGTTCTTGTGAACATATTCTATGAAAATGACTGACGTCAAATATCCAATTTATAAAAACATAAATTAAATTCTATTGAATATTGATGGGCCGAAACATCTTCGATTAGGGTGCGAGTGTAGATAAACATAAAGCTACACCCACACCTATAGTTGAAGTACTCATTTTATTGCTTCGTGAAAACGAGATGAAGACAACATGAGTTTGACTTTAACAAGAACACATGACTTACTTTTCGTTGTAAAATGAATTTTATTGATAAAAGATATTGACTCATATTCAGCTTTGAGATCTAGTAGATTTGTAAGAATGTCTTTCAATTGTATGCGCTTATCATTGAAAAATTGAGTTTCTCGATCGGCCAAATCTAATGACATACGATAAGAATTTATGACGAACTTCATTGTGGTTCGCTCGACTTTTTTTCTATCGATTCCAGTTTTCAACTCAATTAAATAGATTCTCTGTTGTACCTAATTATGCGCTCAATTCATGTTTCCTGTGTGATTGTCATCATTTGAAAATCTAGTTTGAAAGAAAAAGAAATAAAAATGTACTGATAATATGCAATAGCAATCATACTTGCGCTTGATGTATCTGATGTCAACGAAAGAATTCATGTGTTTATTTAGATTTTATTATAGTAAAACTTGTAGTCAATCCAAATCAAAGTTTTAAAACTATTGATCGAAAACAAAGAAACTTCCAGATTACTTGAATTCAAATTTTGAATTCTAATCCGAATCAAAATAGCCCTTTTTTCCTCGACTTGTTAGTGTCGTTCGTCTTTGTAAAACAAAAACTATTCATTTACTATATATGATTGAAGAAAAACCTTACGATCAGATCTCATCATCTGTTATCGTTACAATTTATTTCCTATGTTTCCTTTGCGAAATTTCTTTAGCCGATCAAGAAGACTCAATAGATTGCGAAAAACATTTGCATGTTTCCAATAAAGAACATGATCTTTTGTTGGTCAGTGCGACGTCACGATTCTTATTCCAAGAACTCCTCGAATATAGAATTGAAGACATGAGTCCTGTTTTATCGAACCTTGTCGCTTGGAAACATACGTCAAATACCAAACGAAGGCTTGAAATTTTTTAAATTGTACTCAAAAAGAAGGCAAAGATTTGTTCACTGGGAGTTCTTCGCGTAAGTATCATCTCTATTCAATGATTCTATGAGAGGTCTCATAAATGTACATTACATTTTGAATTCTAAAATCCATGATTAAGTCATAAAGCAAATTTCGAGTTTTTCATTTCAAGATGTTTTTCAAAAGTATCATATGCAATATCATCTTTAACTTTCAATATCTTCAGCTGGGATTCTTGTACCGATAGTTTTTTCAAGTTGTCATAACTACTCTAAGATTAATCGACTTAATACTTGTTTTTCTATTCAAAGAATTAAAAGAAAGAAAGTGGCAGCTTGAAAATTAAAAGATTAAATAGGAACGCTTTTATCTCATTGTAGTCAAACAATATTGTTTTTCTAATTCTTTCATCGTCCTTCTCAAGAATCTCGATAAAAAGAGTTTGTTATCTACAATTTGTATAGGAACAATCTTTGTTTTTGCTATTATGATGAACATTGTAATTATACAGATTTGCTGCCGCATCAGGTGATTGATATAGTTTCACATTTGTTTCAAATGGTGATGATTCTTTTCAAGTCTAAGATGGATGGGGATAGAATAAACTGTTAATTTCTATGCAGTATACACTTAGATAAAAGAAAAGCACTTCTTTGTTTTAGTCAAGAAAAATGAACAATACCAGTAGAGATGTATGGGAAGTGTTATGATTAATCTTTGTCTAAGTTTTATTAGTTAAATATTCGTTTGAGAATGTTTATTTTCAGAAAAACTTTTATATTAACTGTTCACTAATACATTTAATATTTTTCTTCAATGTTTACCGTGTTGCAACAGAATCAGATATTTAGAACTTAGCTATCTTTTGAAGCTGATTTGAGGATTTCGCACAGTTCTCAGATAACTACAAAGATACATTAATAAATCAGTTTTTGTTTATTCATTTAAAAAAGAAAAAAAAAAAGGAACAAGCAAAACATACTGAATTGAATAAGATAACGTTTTTGCGTTCATCTTCTTTTCTGGTGAAGGTTTAACATCGATGCTTGCCCATCACTTTTTATCGTGTCGTCCATCGTAACAACCTGAAGTTTTACAATCTGGTTTACTACAATCTTCTTTTTTGTATTCGCTATGACGTTCAATTTGACCTGTTTTCCAATTTCCACTCCAAGTAGTCGTTTGACTTGTATTGCATGCTCCTACTGGTGGAGTATTAACTATTGTTGAAGCTGGAGCATTACCCATTTGTGAAATTGTTACTTCCACAAGACTAGTGTAAATCTAGAAGAGAACTATAACTATTCAGATAAGGAAATTTAGATCTACCCAAGGATAGATTTTAATATGTCAATGATACATATCTTTTCTTGCAAAAACGAAAAAAGTGGAATGATAGTACACTCACATCCACACCCTATTGGGTCCGTCGACTGATGTATTGTTGCCATTCAAAATTCTTTTGACTTCAGAGTATCTCGAATAAAAGAAACTATAGTTCTCCTAGTAACAATGATAAACTTTAGTGTTGATTATAGGTTTCACAATTTTGGCGGTGCTTGATGAAAAGATCAAATTTCAGCTAAACTTGTGAAACCTATATCTCTCAAAGAAAAAGACGTAGAACACTAATATTTTTACTATAAGTAAAACTCACTGAGCTCAATAATATAGGCCATATATCAGTTGATTTGAAAACTAAATATCTACCTGTCGTTGAAATCTAATGGAAGATCCTTATAGAATCTACTCTCATTTTTAGAATTTGATCACGTTCCATCTCTTTTTTTGTTCTTTTTTGAGAATGTCATTGGATAGAGTATAAAACGTTACGTATAGTAGGAATGTTTGAGCGGACAGCAAAATCGACTTTCGAGTCATTAGAATGCATGTGCTCTCATTTTCGTTGTTTGTAACTACTCTTGACACATTCAATTTTAATTTTGTCACTAGTCTAATAATTTTGGAAATAAAATAGACTTACATGATAAAAAATGTTGGAATGTACGGGCTGTTTTGTTTTTTTGTGTGCTTGCAGCCGATTTTGCTTCGTATTTATTGTTGACGAAATTAGTGGGTTTTTTCCGATTCTCCAACAAGCTGCATGTTACATCACGTACTAAGAACGTCATATAAATACATATATATATGCTTGTTCTCTTTCTTTCTTTCTTTCTTTGTGTCATGCATTTTTCCTTAGTATTCCTCTTGGTTTTCTCCTTTCTCTCTCTTGTATATGATTTCTTAGGTATATTACAAGTTATTAAGATATATCTTGAATATTCCATCGTTTTCATGACCTTGGATATAAATATCTGCTATTTATCTGTAAGCGCGATTGATCGAGATATTATTGAATTTACACCATACATTGTTTCAAATCTTCAAAAAAGATTGAAGCAATCATTTCGTAATAATTCTTTCGATATTCTATGTGGCAAAAAATTTTTCAAGTTATGCAGTGGTAAGGCTGACGTGAGTCCCTGGTCCTACCTTAGTTACGCCACTAAATGCAATCCAAAGGAATTTAATAAAACAAATTTCATTTTTTGTTTACGTCTTCCGTTCTTCGATCTCTATCTAAACAACCGAAGACAAATACAATAAAATCTCGTTATTGTGAGCATTCTTGAAGGGTCCAAAAAATCGATTTTTGCTGAAAAATGGATCTTTCGTAAGTGAGGACTTCCTTATCATGACTACTTTTGAATGAATCCCGATTGTGCACACATCAAAGATGTTTTACTATAATAGATAAGCGCTTTTTTTTGTTCTTCTTACAACAAAACTATAGATTTTGCCATGTGCTAAGTATTATTACGTCATTACATTAACTGATTTACTTTGAAATTTGAAATATAAATACACATTCATCTAGTCGTTTTGTTTTCTTCTACTTTTTTGTTCATTTATTTTATTAAAAAACATCATTTTTTCTTTATCATATGGCAAAACTTATTTTATTCGGATATATTTTATTGCATTATAGTTCTGATGGACAAATTATTAGTTTTGGTAGTGATTCTAACGTCACTGATCTTATAGCAAATGTCTCCGTTCTCAGAACAATCTTCCTATACTCGACACAGTTTGATCTGGTTTTCAACGTTTATGACCGTTCAGTCAATACCATGCATAAAGAGAAACTGAAGGTGTTTAGTAGCAATACAACTGTAAACTCAACTGACCGTTGTATAGTCTTAGGTATATCTTTCGATCTCTGGGAGAAAATACCAATACAAAATTCTGAAGAAACGGGAAACAATGGTTGTTCCCTTTTCTGAAAGAAAGGGTTATATCGTGGAAAATATCTTAAATAGTTTGTCAGCTTAAGCGAATCAGAAAATAGTACGGCTAAGGGTGTGGGTGTGTGTGGGTGTGGTGTGGTGTGGTGTGAGTGTGGGTGTTAAGAGAAGAACAACAGACACCCACACCCATACCCACACAGCCACAGGCACAGCCCCATCCCACACCCCACCCTTATTTCCTCTTCATAGAAATGAAAAAAAGCATAAATTTTATTTTATTATTTTTATTCTAGATTTACAAACAATTGATATAACATTATGTATTCTTTATCGACCAAGAGCTGAACTTTTACCAAAAATTTTTTAAAATTTGGGTTTAGATTATGAAGAACGTATTTTACCACCAATTACTAATGAAATTTTAAAATCTGTTGTAGTAAGTTTCAGATACTAATGTTTTTGTTACTACGAATAATTCACTTATTTCTCAGGATGTTAGTGAATTATTAACAGAATGTGTTGCTCAATTTGGTTTATTACTTGATGATATTTCAATTGTAAGATACGACAAAAAAAAATCAGTCTCGAGTTGATTATATATATTTTTTTGAATTAGATGCATTTAAGTTTTGGATCTGAATTTACAAGCACTGTTGAATTAAAACAAGTTGCACGACAAGATGCTGAAAAACAACGATTTCTAGTCGATTTTTTTTATAAAAAAGAAAGGCTGAACAAAGTCGTCAAGCAAATTTTATTGCAGCAGAAGGTGATGCTCGTGCAGCTGATTTGATTGGCAAAGCTTTAGGTAAAGCTGGTGATGGTAAATTTTCGAATATCTTTTTTTGTTTTGTCTTACTTTGTTTTAATATGCATGTTAGGTTTGTTTTATTCGATTAAAAAAAAAGAAAATCAGATCAACAATGCTCTAGATGATATTAAAGTTTCGGGTACGATTAAAATAATGAATTTCGATAATCTCTTTCGACGTTTTATATTAATTCAATCATTTGTACATAGTTGGGAAATCCATTTCATTTACAATAAATTTTTATCTATCGACGTGAAAAAATTGGTGCAAGAGAAGAATGTTTAAAACTTGTACCACGTGAAAATGTACAAGAAAAATATAAATACTCGATTTCGTTCACCACTTGCCAATTATTTACCACATTTCTTTTGATATATTTATTTGAATAGGTTCCATCTCAAGCAGCTCTATAGCTCATTTTCAACTTGTTTTACCACATGATCATCGTTTTGGTATTAATTCAATTCTAATAGGGATTTGTTGTGCTGGAACAGGTGACCATGGTTTTAGTCGACGAAGGTTACCTACTGGAGTTTCATTAATTAATCAATATTGTATAGGTTCAATTCTTCTTGAAAATCCATATTATGGTTTAAGAAAACCACCAGATCAATCTTGTTCATCATTATTGTATGTTACTGATTTATATGTTATGGGTAAAACACTTGTATTACTTCATTGGTGCCAAAAAAATGAAATTAACACCAACTATTTTACATGGTTTTTCTCTTGGTAGACATATGGCTTCATTAACATTTACAAAGTAAGATTCAATTCTATTATTTGATGAATTTATGAATTGATATACAGTATCTATCATGATTTCAAATAGTGATTCAAGTAGAGCAAACCATATTACAAAAAGAATATAAATTAAACAAATTGATTATTTGATTCCCTAACTTGGAATTTTTAGAAAACCAAAAGCCTAATTTCTCAATGTCTAGTACTTGAGCTCTCTACAACGGTTTTTTGTTTAGCAAAAGTTGAATAATTTTGGTAGCCATCGTGTATATATTTATATTTTAGTTGGTCTGATCCACTTTCCCTTTTATTCTGTGCTTCTTGGTCATCAAGCTCGACAGTATTTTGTGATAGTGTACTTTCACGCACTATTCCATGGCCTCTTTTAAAACGACAATTCTATGAAAATAAAGCCTATCAAACATTTTATGATTATTTACGTGAGCGAAATAGATCAATAGATTCAAGTAGGATTGTTGTCGATCCTATTAAAGATATGATGCGTCTTTTTATGGATGAATTTACATCTTTACATAATTATTCGCGTCCAATTCAATCAATATTACGTGTTGGTATCCACATATGAATGATGTATGGTCTGATGTTCATATTTGATATATTCCTCATGGACATGTTAATGCATTTTTACATATATAATCAATCAGATTTTCATCATACTGCTACTGAAATGTTACAACGACAAGAACCAAATGTAAAACTAAAAAAAACATCGAATCATATCACCAATTTCTATTACTACACCTGAAAATTTATGAAGATATATATATTTCCTACTCAGAGAAAAGAAAACTTTTGATCGAATATAAACTATTGTCCATTTCAGAGTTAAATAGCCGTGGGCATTTTTTGAATAACTTTAAAATAGAAAGAGAGAAGTAAGCCGAATTTTTTGTAGAATCTAGAGTTGACACTGCTGTATCTTTTTACAAAGTCGTTGAAAAATTCCAGTCACTTTTCTTCGTGGATATGTGATAAGTTTTGAAGATGAGCTTAATTCACTTTGGAAACAACATACTTTCTCAACTATAATATAATGGACAGATAGCCTAACTTCTCCTCTATCGATCTACATAAGACTGAAATCGATAACTGTTTGCATTCAAAAGATATAAAGACTATTCTGAAGGCTTCTCACGAAATTTTTTCAAAATCATAGCAACTATCACATATTGTCTTCTATAAGTTTTCAGTGGTCTTCGAATTCGTGACATGACTTATTAAACTTTGGAGTTTTCTTTTCTGCGAAAAGTGTGATCGAAGAGCATTCATTAGATGTTAGTATGTGGAGTGTAGGAGTAGTGTGGGTATGAACGTGAGCATAGGTGTTATTTTTTTCTTCAGCCACCGTCCCACCAATATCTCTTTAGAGAGATACTGTGCCTTGAATCCTGTAGAAGTAGCCAGGGTCAATATGAGAACATATATAGGGGATAGAAACATCAAGTTTACTTTAACTGAAGTGAGCAAATTGGCATAGAAGGCTTTATGGCTTAAGTGCAACGGAAGCAACCAGTGACATAAGTAACGTCGAACAATATGACACAACATTTAAGAAGGCTAATATTTGTATTGAAGAGTTGAACGAGAAGCTAAATGATCATGACGACGGTGTTGATGATTGATGACTTTTATGGTAAACTTATGTAAACATCTTAGAATTCTTTTGGATTGACCGATTTTGATTCAGGAACTAATCAAATCAGAATAGCAACAAAATAAAGATTGAAGAGAACTTTCTGAAAACATTAATTCATTACCATCAAAATAAGTTCAACGTATGACTCTTGATAACATTCTTTAGTAGCAAAATCATTCGAAAGGTTAATAAATCATGTCATGAAGTCGAACACCACTAAAAACTTATAGAAGACAATATGTGATAGTTGCTATGATTTTGAAAAAATTTCGTGAAGAGCTTTCAGAAAAGTCTTTATATCTTTTGAATGCAAACAGTTATCGATTTCAGTCTTATGTAGATCGATAGAGGAGAAGTTAGGCTATCTGTCCATTATGTTATAGTTGAGAAAGTATGTTGTTTCCAAAGTGAATTAAGCTCATCTTCAAAACTTATCACATATTCACGAAGAAAAGCGACTGAAATTTTTCATCGACTTTGTTGAAAAAATAGAGCAGTGTCAGCTCTAGATACTGCAAAAAATTAGGCTTACTTCTCTCTTTCTATTTTAAAGTTATTCAAAAAATGCCCACGGCCATTTAACTCTGAAATGGACAATAATAAGCGATAAATACCAACACTTACCACTTCTTGAAGAATTAACAAATCGATGATTCACTAGTGATTACTACGTCATTTAAATATATTCTATCACATATAGATACTGCAGACTAGTTAAACTAACCACTTACTACTCGCTAGCAACAGATGAGTAGTAATAACTACCGGCAACTAGCAACTAGTACGTGATAGAGGCTCCGCTTACTGAGAGCGTTACAATAATATAATTTTTCAAGTTACAACTTATTTTTTGATAATGACAACTAAGCAGAAAATAGTCATTTAAACGTGTTTTTTTCCGAAAAAACACGATATTAAGGCATTTTTAACGATTTCGAACAGAGTTTTGGAAGATAAACTGTTAAGAGGTGTTTAATGTAAAAATTTCGTCAATAAACACGTTTGTGACCGTTAATCGTCTGTCTGGGTGATCAAAGCCTAGAAAATTTCTAAAACTCCGAAAAAATTCCAGAAGTTTAATAACATCCCGAAAGACTGAATAAGTACCTTAGAAATTTAAAAAATCCAAAATTCCTAAAATCGTTGCTTTCTCTAAAGCCATGCTGTCTGTCTGACACGGTCTGTGGAGGAAGAATGTCCAAATCTCTTGCTATATAACTTCAACACTCATTTCTAATCGTGTTTCACAATAAACGAATTTATCTTAAACATAAGATTTTCAAATAATCAATAAAACACTTATTGTTGTTATGAAAAAAACCAGTGTTCCAAAATGTTCAATCTTATCTTGGAGAAAACATAATTTACTTTGATTAAAAATCTATATGTGGAAAAAAAAAGTTTCAGTAAATTATTTGATTATGCATATGGAAAAAAGTTATAAGAAAGAACAATTTCAAAAAATAAACCGTGTTCTGGAGATATTTTTAGCGTTCCTTTAGAACTCGTTTGAAAGGAGGCATTCCCGATTCTTCCACAAAACAACTGTGCTTTTACACTAAATACATTTCTAAATGACAAGGATTTATTTTATTAAAATGCGTTCTACACCAATCATGCCCTATAACTATGAGAAAGTATTTTTCCGTGAAGAAAATGTAAAACATTCTTTCACAGTGCATGTTGTTAATCGATTTGATATAAATTTGTTTTTACGGATAGAACAAACGCATCTTGGTGTTCTTTTCTTCGCTTATTTGTGAATACGTAGCTTCAAACGAATTGTTTACTTTGCTTCTTTTTCCTATTCACCGCTTTCTTTTCTTAAAACATTATTTCCCGAATGTTTACCTCTTCTTACAAAAAGATAAATGTTAATGTTTATTGGTTTTTGTAAAATAACAAGAGAAAAAAATGTCTGAAAGAAAAGAGAACAAGAGAAAAAAGATGAAATAGACTACGACGTAGCTTTTCAACTAATACTTTTCACTGCATTCATTTGTCGTCATCGTTCTACTTGACAGTAGCGAGGGTTGGACAACTTTTTGATCGGTGAGATGAATGAAAATTGTAAGTGGAATTCAATCGCTCAGGTCAAAAATGCCCTGTCTTAAAAGACTAACGTAGACGAACGAAACAACACAATGAAAAATGAAAATCTATACGAGAAATGAAACTTTTCATAGAAAAAATGACTAGGAATAATGTTTGAGGGTGTGGGTGTGGGTGTGGGTGGG